TTTCCCCGAGGCTGCCTAGTGCTCCTGGGAGGAATCCACAGAGAGTCTGTGTGTACTGATGGGGTCTCTGCCTAGAATGGCAAATAAATGCTCACAGAAGCAGCATCTCTGTGGCTCAGAAACTGAGCGACTTTTTGCCTTCTTTGTCTTCTGGTCAGATCTCCTTTATTTTCACATAGCACTGCTGTTTGTCCCTGCAGCATTTCTTCTGCTGGTTTGGAGCTTTGCCTAGACAAACTCTTCTCACACAACAATCAGATCCAATGTCTCCTGTATGCGCCATGATGCAGCACATTTGCGGCCCTGGGTATCAGCATGATCAGCTGGTGAGCTCTCCACACTGATCACACAGAAAATGAGAATTCAAAAGGTCCTGGGGCTTTTCCTGTGTACCTGGCTAAAGAGCAGTAGAGTCTGCAGTGACTAGGTCTCAGTTGGAGTAGTGTGTCCATTTCTGGGCACCACATTAGAAGAAAGATATGGAGAAATTGAAGACGGTCCAGAGAAAAGCAACAAAAATGATTAAAGGTCTAGAGAACATGAGCTATGAGGGAAGACTGAAAGAATTGGGTTTGTTTAGTTTAGAAAAGAGAACACTGAGAGGGGACATGATAGTAGTTTTCAAGTATCTAAAAGGATACATGAAGCAAAGAAGAAAAAGTGTTCGGCTTCACTTCTGAGGATAGGACAAGAAGCAATGGGCTCAAATTGCAGCAAGGGAGGTTTACGGTGGATATTAGGAAAAACGCCTTATCTGTCAGGGTGGTTAAACACTGGAATAAATTGCCTAGAGGGGTTGTGGAATCTCCATCATTGAAGATATTTAAGAGCAGGTTAGATGATATAGATTAGTGGTGGGCAATAATTTTGGAAGGGGTGGGCACTTCAAAAAATTTCAAAGTGATCGCAAGCCGCCCTGGAAGGGGCAGGGCCTCAGGCAGAAGGAACAGGGTCTTTACATAGCAGCAGTTGAAAGGGTTTGTGCCTACCTTGTGGCTCCCAACATGTTAGCAGTGGGGAAGGAGCTGCGAGCACTTTCAGCTCCTACTATTTCAAGAGCTTGTGCCTTAGTAGCCACCCAGAAGGCATGAGCCCTTTAAATAGAAGCAATTGATAGGGCTCACAGCTCCCAGCCCTGCCGCTAACGCATTGCCTGAGACCCGCCAGGCAGGTGCGAGCCCTTTCAAATGCTTCTCTTTAAAGGGCTTGTGGCTGCTGGGCAGCTGCTAACCTGCTGCCTGGCAGCCTATCGGCAGGTGCAAACTCTTTAGATAGAAGCAGTTGAAAGGGCTCACGCCTCCCCGGTGGCTCCCAGACAGTGCATTAGGGGGCAGGGCCGGGAGCTACTGCACAGGCCCGATGAAAGAGCTTGGTCAGCCAAATCCGGCCCACTGACAGGCTCTTGCCCAGCCCTGATCTAGATGGTGCTTGGTCCTGCCATGAGGGCAGGGGGCTTGATGACCTCGGGCAGTCCCTTCCAGTTCTAGGATTTTAGGATTCTATGAAAGTCACAACAGAACACTTAGGGACACTTCCTGGAGGCCAATCCCTCTGAATTACACAGCGCTAGGTCTACATTACTCCTAAATTGACTCAGGATAATCAATTCTAGCTCTATGTCTCTTATGGCGGTTGAGCACAGGAACTAGTTTTAAAAGCCCTTTAGGTCAGTGGAAGGGGCTTGGTAATGTGGATACATACATTATTAAATTGAGCTAACATGACTTATTTTGACCTCACACTATAGTGCATACCGGACCTGAGTATCAAGAGGAACCTCCACTGTAGTACTCCCAATCACTTGCCGACATTTTGGTGCCAGAATGGTGCAAAGTGTTGAGACAATGAGGCCCTTTATCCTAAAACTGGAGGACATTCGAGTACAAGGAGGAGAGAAATAAAAGGGAGAAGAACCAAACATTCAGAGCTTATTAATGGCACTTCTGAAATCTAGCCACAGCAGTAATTTAGTCTCATTGAATTTTGTGTTTTACAGATTTAGCCTAATGTTATTAGACACTTGGGGCCAAATTATGCCCTCACATTAGTTCACATTGCTCCCATTAACTTCTGTCAGGGCAGAATTTGATGAGATATGCATGGAGTTTGTCTCATCAGGCAGGAACTCTGCATTCTGATTTTCAGTATCTTTGGCCTGGCTATCTGAAAACATTTTGCTCAGTCTTTCCTGACATTTTTGAAAAAGCATACCAGCAAAACTTACACTGATAAATACAGTATCCGTGTCCTTCATTTATTACAGATGCTGGATAATACAGTGCATTCTTTTCTTAGTTTAACTACATACTGAATTGACCATCATTTTTAATAGAAGTACTACATTTTTGCACTGAGAATCTCTCTTCTGAAGACATTCCAGTATTGCAATTCAAATGCTCTTCTCAAATTGCTGTAAAATAAGGATATAGCAAAAGAGAGAGAGAGAGAGAGAGAGAGAGAGCAGTGCTTATTAGTGATAATGAGGTAAATGCTGAAAAGCTTTGAATAACTAATATTTACAGGTTACAACTTGGAATTCACAATACTTTGCTAAGACAATGATCTGTTGCAGATCTGTTATTTGCATACAGGAACCTTCCTGGACATTATAAATGCTGCACAAAATACAGCTGCACTTTTCTAGTGTACTAAAAAACATCAAATACTGTCTGTCACAGAGTTAAACAAGAATGTCATCACAACGTGAAACTCAAAATTTGTATTAAAAAATAGGTCACTAAAAATAAAAAAAAGAACTTTGAGTAGTATATAGCTCTATTTTTTAATGTGCTCAATAGAATATTGATATGATCAATATATTTGGTTCATCTGAGCAGTTAACATGAGATATGAATGCAGATGCTGCATTTGTTACATAAGCAGTTGCGTGCTTTGACTATGTACCTAGAAGTGAATAAGCTCCAGTTTCACAGTCAAGAGATCTTTCTCTTATATGTGTATTTATAGTTTTACATACTGTTGTTAGTGTCAAAAAATAATAATATTACCTATTAGCCCTTTTAGTCCAGTGGATACAAGCACAGCTAAGATAGATTTGATTCATACTCATCTATTGTTAATTAATAAATTGCATCACTCCAACTGCAAGAACCAAATTTTATCAGTCCAATCATTGCAGCTGCAAAAGCCAACATTCTGCCCATTTTGCACAGTGAAAACTGAAGGCAGAATTAGGCCTATTGAAATTTTATTACTGGTGATTTCGTGAGCTGGAAAAAAACCACTGACTTTGCTGAACTGGCGGCTAGGGAGTCATCCTTTCCTTGTCAACTCTGCAATTTTAATAGGAAATCACTGAGAGCCAATAAGCATGGAATCCAATGCTATTTTTACTGGGTCACTTTTTAGAGTACTGTTGAAGTTGACAACAAGGACAGAAATCCAGAAAAAATAAATAACCTAACCTTGCTGTATTTACCTGTTCAAATGTATCAGCCACCCATTTCTTTATTCCACTAGAGTCATCCTTTATTGTCCACTTGACCACTTTTGCAGCAAGCATTTTAATGCTGTAGTCCATGCTTCCCACCCTGATTCACAGAATGCCCTGCAAACAAAACAAAATCCAAATCCACAATCCATGAAACCACTATCCTATTATCCTTCAAATCCCTCCTCAAGACACACTCATCTAGGGACCCCTAGAGAACACTGCTAGATATTAATGGCTGGGCAGGTGGCAAGATGAGACTACTGATCTGCTTATTCGTCTCCATTAGTCCCCAGTAACACTGTATATATCACAAGAAAGCTAATCTACATAACCGAGCTTATTGTCAGTCTTCATTCTTTTCACCTTTTCATTCTTTGATTAATCCATTTAACATATTGTCAGAAACTAAGACTGTAAACTCTTTGGTGGCAGAGATGATCTCTTACTAGATTCCTACACTGCACTCAATACAATAGTGACTGGGTCTTCTCATTGCTACTACAGGTTAAACCTCTCTAGTCCGGCAACATCCATGACCCAGCATGATTTTTGGTAGCTGGATGCCCACTTATCATAGGAGTGGCCAAGTTTCCTGTGGTCCCATAAAGTAAAGAACACTGGCTCTCAGTGCTCTGTGCTATTATTTAACTCTAATTTACCCCTAAATGTCTTCTAAAAGCCCAGTAAGCAGTGGAAATGTTGGTAATGTTGCTATACAATATTGATCTCCTGTGACTAGGCAAAGTCTCTGGTTCAACACTGGTCAAGTCCTTAGGGCGCCAGACTAGAGAGGTTCAACCTGTATATTACGAATAAATTAGATTAGGACACTGTGTAGGTTTATTCCAAAACCACTGGGATGCTACTTCTAATGCATAACACAGCTGTTCTCTGTTGTTCAGTGGAGTCACTTGTAGGTAGTACAAAACACTACTACCACCAGCATATCTGCTTCAGATACAATCCAGAGTGCTGATTTTGATATGTATAGTTTGGATCTTGGCTACCTGCTACACTGCCTTTTTTTCCCTAGATCTCCTTTGAGAGCAAGGATTATCTATTACAATTATGCCAACAATCTCTGGATTTCAAAGAGAGATGTCTGCAGAATATTTTCAGAATATTTTCAGCAATGGGACCCCTGATTCAAACTCCTTACTCCAACCAGTGCTTCAGAACCTGGCACTGTTGAATTGCAGGCATAGTCTAAAGCTCTCCTATTCCATCAGAACTGTGGTTGAAGAGCAGGGAAAAACAAGACCATTCTTGGGATAGAGTATGGTTTAACACCTCTTCAGTGTTGTCCAAGCTCTTATCAGAAAAAACTATTTTATAACAAACATATACACAAACAAAAGCTTCAGAGGGGTAGCAGTGTTAGTCTATAACTGGAAAAACTTTAAAAACAACAAATAATCTAGCAGCACCTTCAAGACTAACAAAACATGTAGATGGTATCATGAGCTTTCGTGGGCACAGACCACTTCTTCAGATGAAATATTCACATACAAGAATAGTTTGTTTGAACTCTGCAGTCAATTTACCGTTTTCTTTGGTAATATAATTTTTCCCATAAATTCTTGGCATTGAGATCAACTTTCTCAAGAAGTCACCTCATGGGGAACCAGACTATTTGGACACTCTCGGCTAGTAAGGGCCACCACTGTAACTGCAGCCCTCTCCTTCACAGCTTGAGCAGCAGGGTTCAGCATGGCATTTGCTTCTGGCATATCTTTAAAAATAAGCATTTATTCAAATGGTTAAGGCCTCCCCAATCCTTAGTCCATGCAACATGGCACTTAGGGAGGCATGAGCAAATTCATGATCAGGAAAATGGATCTACTTGTACCCCGATTGGTGGTGTGGATGCAGGGGGCTCCCTCCTCCAATTTTCACTCTCCAATTACCATTTGTCAAAGGCGCAGACGTATAAGGAATTATATGCTGTTGCTTCTAATGGAAAAGAACCTCCTCTGATTAAGAAGCAGCCTCTTTCTCCATGACTAGCCTTAGGTTTGTGGATCAAGACTCTGTATATAAAAGATCTATATTAAAAGAAGAGCCAGAATTTTATTCACTGGCTTAGATTATCAGAGGAATGAAAAGAACTTCAGAACTGAATTCACTGGGCACTTACTGGCCACCTAACTCTCACAGTTCCATTTGAAAATCCCAGGCTTAAAATGAGTTTTGTACCCTGCAAATTATTTGCTTTGAGTATTAAGGAAACAAAAAACTTCACTTTTCCTCATCTGCTAGTTCAATTTTCTAAATGTTTCTTCTCTTAGACTGACTCAGTAGCCACATTAGAGTAAATCTAAGTGGAGTAAGAATAAGCTTCTTATTCAGCCACACAGTACACTTGATTGGAATAGATATTGTACATAATATGTCCCTGCAGATGTTTTCTCCAGTGGGGCACATTGAATTTCATTTAAATGCCAAGGCACAAAATCTAAAACAATGTGACTTTAACAAAAAATCTGATGAGGAATTTGATGAGAAAATGGCAAGAATTCCTGTGGCATTTGGGTAACAATTTCAAGCCTTCATTTTAATAGAATAAACAGGATCATATTTCATTCAAATCTGGCAATGAGATGAGCTTTGGGTATTACATTGATATAAACCAATAAAGAATTTGCAAATTTGAAGCACTAATTAACAGACACAATATTAAATGAAAAAAGTTTGCTCGAGGGGCAAATATATTTTGAAGACTTTCAACTTTTATTAAAAGACATTTTGAATAGCTTCTTTTGCATTTGACTATTTTGCTAATATTCAAGGAATACGGAGTTTTTAAACTAATGCATTTAATATAGTAGGATCCAAATTACTAATATAAATGTTTCATTTCCTCCATTTTGAAGCAATACCTCAAACTCATATCAGCTCAAGAAAAAAAAATCAGATTAACTTAAGTTTGTTACTAGAAGGGTTCTAGCCATACTTATTCTCAGTTTAATGCACATGTCACCTTCCAGTAAACTGTGTCTCTAAAACCAAGCATTAGTTTATTTTATTTTTAAAATAAAAAGCATTACCACTACAATCAAAGTGCCATTACTGCAGTTCTAGTTGGAAAGGATTCTGAAGCTTTGGTTTACCAGTCACATATGTGCCATAGTAAGAGGATTTTCTCTATCTAATTGCAATGCTGCACATAGTAGCTTTTGTGATACTACAATATCTAAGACTTATGTATCCAAAGACTCATACTTCAGAAAATGGGAATGTCAGCTAGAATATTAAGGAATCAAATCTATGAGACCGACCGACCTTCACATAAGATATTAGAGTCTGTTTTTTGAAACAAGTGGTTATTTCATCCTACGTACGCATATCCTCATCATAAGTCTGCTGATGATAAAGTCACCTGCACTGACAATTCAGCAACTATGCTGCTCTTAAAAGTTGTCACATATTTAATTCATTAGCATGTGAGCAATCTACTTGTTTCAAGAATGAAAATGAACATATTACATACCATTTCCTTCCATGTAGGGTAATGGGATTATTCAGCACAGGCATTTAATCCTAAAACTGTTTAATCCTAAAACTGTTGTTCTGGAACCCCTCCCTCATACCTTCAGCCTGGCCTACTTTTTTATTTTTATTTTTTTAAGCCTTTCAATATCCCTGTCTTCAGATAGCTGATTGTGGTATCATTTTTTCTTTTTTATTTAAAGGAAATTTTGGAGGTAACTTTTTGAAAAGGTAATTGATCTGCACCTTGTAGATAGAAGACCTGAGCTTTTGTTCAGATACAGAATGTACATCAAAGTCAAGTTTAAGCACTGTGTGTGCACTACTTAATTCTGCCAAATGAAAACTTGTAGAAAATGGAATATAAAAAAGCCATTAACCATAAAAATAAGTGACAGGGAGCTGGGGACCTGTTGACTGAGGATTTGTGTATCATTTGATTTCAAAATTCATGAACTTTTAACATGCCCACAAAACTGCATGAGTTTTATGAACTTCTTACTTCATAGAATCATAGAATCATAGAATCATAGGACTGGAAGGGACCTCGAGAGGTCATCGAGTCCAGCCCCCCGCCCTCAAGGCAGGACCAAGCTCCGTCTACACCATCCCTGACAGATGTCTATCTAACCTGTTCTTAAATATCTCCAGAGAGGGAGATTCCACCACCTCCCTTGGCAATTTATTCCAATATTTGACCACCCTGACAGTTAGGAATTTTTTCCTAATGTCAAATCTAAACCTCCCTTGCTGCACTTTAAGCCCATTACTCCTTGTCCTGTCCTCAGAAACCAAGAGGAACAAATTTTCTCCTTCCTCCTTGTGACGCCCTTTTAGATATTTGAAAACCGCTATCATGTCCCCCCTTAATCTTCTTTTTTCCAAACTAAACAAGCCCAGTTCATGAAGCCTGGCTTCATAGGTCATGTTCTCTAAACCTTTAATCATTCTTGTCGCTCTTCTCTGTACCCTTTCCAATTTCTCCACATCTTTCTTGAAATGTGGCGCCCAGAACTGGACACAGTACTCCAGCTGAGGCCTAACTAGTGCAGAGTAGAGCGGCAGAATGACTTCCCGAGTTTTGCTTACAACACACCTGTTGATACAACCTAGAATCATATTTGCTTTTTTTGCAACAGCATCACACTGTTGACTCATAATCAACTTGTGGTCCACTATGACCCCTAGATCCCTTTCCGCCATGCTCCTTCCTAGACAGTCGCTTCCCATCTTGTATGTATGGAACTGATTGTTCCTTCCTAAGTGGAGCACTTTGCATTTCTCTTTATTAAACCTCATCCTGTTTACCTCTGACCATTTCTCTAACTTGCTAAGGTCATTTTGAATTATGTCCCTATCCTCCAAAGAAGTTGCAACCCCACCCAGTTTGGTATCATCTGCAAACTTAATAAGTGTACTCTCTATCCCAATATCTACATCATTGATGAAGATATTGAACAGTACGGGTCCCAAAACAGACCCTTGAGGAACTCCACTTGTTATCCCTTTCCAGCAGGATTTAGAATCGTTAACAACAACTCTTTGACTACGGTTATCCAGCCAATTATGCACCCACCTTATCGTGGCCCTATCTAAGTTATATTTGCCTAGTTTATCAATAAGAA